TGTGATTGGTACCCTCAGGCAAAATATGTTGATGACTTGACAGCTATTGAGATTATCCCTAGAAATGCTCCCTTGGTACTTTGCTACATAGTGTCTGATGTTGAGGAGTTTGCTTGTGCTAGTAACGTGCAACTAAATCCAGCAAAATGCAAGGTGATGTCAGTTGACTTTCTTCACTATAATAATAGCTGTCAGTGTACGCCAGTTGCCATGGGCGGTGTTGTTTTGGAGCACATCAGTTCCTTTAAGCTGCTTCAGGTGTTACACTGTGACTTTATGGTGAAGAGAGCCAACCAACGACTGTATGCACTCAGGTGCTGTAGTGTACCAGCTCCTGAAATGATTCTAGTCTACACTTCTCTTGTAACATCAATCTTGAATACACATGAGTTGTGTTTTCAAACTTGCCACTATCTATCAGATGCCATTGAAATTGTGCAAAAGCACACTCTTAAAATTAAATTTTTCTATGCTATCATATACTGACACCTTGAAAATGAGTAATTTACAATCACTTCAAGACAGGAATATAGCATGCGAAAGGTTTATTACCAGTCTTAAAACTAGATAACCCTTTGTACAAGCTCATTAGAAGTCACATAGCGGATACTCACTGTAATTACGCATTAAGACCTACAGAAAGAAATTCAAATATCCGCAGCACGTCAACCAACAAGATTAAGAACTTTATCACAAACAAAATACACTACAGTCATTGCACATGACTAGTTCTGCAATATATGCCTTTTAGTTGTTAATGAAATCAATTTTTCCTTAGATATGTCCTGGTACTTTGTGTAAATACTTAATTATTTTCTGTTGGCCAGGGCCGGGTTGTTCAAAGGTCAGTTAAGAAAACCCAGGGTTAGTGTAAAATTTGATTCAGATCTGAAAGCTTTAAAAGAAAATTCACTTGAATTCCATTTTTCTATGATTTAATGATTGAATGCTCTAAAAAGAATTGAGAAAATTATCCCAAAATGGCCTTTCAACAAAGAAATATAGAAACCAGGATTAACAACTAACCCTGAGTTAGCACTAATCGGCCTTCGAACAACTGGGCCCAGATTTATAATTCAGTATTTATACTGCAAGAGGTCTTAATAAACACATATTATTATATTTATTCTTAGTATCATATTCCTGGTTGGAGAGAGGCACTGTGAAAGAGACGGTCTCCAATCCCAAACTCCAGCACACTCACCATTTGGCCATCAGGTCTTCCACTGGAGGACATTCTATTCACCATCATTAATGGAGAGGAGTCCACCACGATACAAATTACTCTTTCCAGGGAAAAAGAAGAAGAGAGACCAAAGGTACAAGGTGGATTGTGATGCAGATAAAAAAATTTCAAATTACGTGTCTCTATAGTCTTTATTGTAAAGTGAGCAAAGAGTTACATAGTCCTTTGGCAATATCAATACTCTATGTTTTGTTTTTTATTAGCCTGCTAACTAAACTTATCTTGTTTGTTGTCTAGTGATTTCCATGACAAAACTTTTTCTGCAGAATTGTCAAGGTGTTCAGGCCTTTCAACTTTGTTACCATTTTTTTTCTTGCATTGACAAGTGTTATTTATACAAATTCCTGCAGATTCAAAATATTTTTAGGAGTTTATTTCACCAACACAATAAGCTTCATTCAGCCTGGACTCAGCCAGAAATTGACCTTCGCTCGAAATGTCTTTACACCAATCCGAAATGTTATTATGAATACTGTGTGAAGTTTTCATTCAAACTATCTTTACTTTGTCAGTTATCACCAAACATACAAATCCAAAACTAGAGTTATTAAATCTCTCCTAATTTTGTAAATCTACTTCTTCCGAACTCTTTCCCTCGATAGACGAGCTTCAGCTCGGTTTTGGTTTGTAATTGATATAAAATCCAGTGTCTTGAGCCTTGGCAATGTTGAAATAATGTGCTCTTTATAACCAGGAAGGTTTTCAATGTGATTTCCATGCAATGTTAGACTAATGAGCTCAGGAAGTTCAGCTAGTTTGTCCACTTCTGAAAGTTTTTCAATGTTGTTTGAATGCAGGTATAAAATCTTCAGCTTTGGATACTGTAGTAACACCTAGATGCAAAAAGACAGATGAGTGTTTTAAAATAACAACAGAGAAGAACACCAAACAAAAGTGAAAGATTCTTAGACCCATCCTAACACCTGAAACACCAATGGAGTAGACCTCTACAAGTGGTCTGTGAGATCACCATCTGTGGATAAGAGAACTAATTCAGGGATAGATCCAGGATTTTTCTTACAAGGGGATAAACCACTAAGGAATGACAACTGATGTCCTGTGACAAATAAAAGGGCTAATGCTCAACCCTTTACTCCCAGTGGTGCTTCAAAGAAAATTCTTCAACCTTGTCTTGTGGTTTACTTCTACACCAATGAACCACATCAGTGATTTTCTCCCTTTTTTTTTTTTTTGCACAGAATACTCATCATGTTAGTGAGCTGCAGATCATCTTGATGAGGGTGGGGGGGGAGGGAAGAGGGTTAGCACCCCCTGCACCTCTGCCTTAGATCCATCCTTGTAATAGTCCTTTTTGCAGTTGTGGGCTTGGTGGCCAAGCCTTTGAACAGGAGTGAGGCTTAGGGTGACCTTGTTATGATAGAGATGTCGCTGCTTTTCAAATTCAAATTACTTTGGTATCATGCTAACTAGATACATGTCTCTATCACAACAGGGTCACCCTTAGCCTCACTCCTGTTCAAAGGCTTGGCCACCAAGCCCACAACTGTAAAAGGGACTAATAGTTGTGGGCATTGTCAATAACGCAAAAGGTAACCATTCAAATCAAGCCCATGGTCTCAAATGACAAAACAATTGGATATTTTTTCAAAAGTAAGGCTCAAAGTCTAGCCCTTTATTAACCATTTACACCTTAAAGTCAGTATGCATATTCTCTGAACTGTTCTCTATAAATTTCCTGAGGTGCTGACAAGGAGAATTTGCTTAACAATCAAGAGCTTGTGATCATTTCCTTCATTCTCCTGACAGCCACACTTTTTCCACCTAAATGACCTTAATACCAATTCTGAAATTCCTCGGCACTAGAAACAAAATGTTACACAGCAAATATAGACCAATCCTGTAAAAAAACTTGTGTTGGAATTAGTTTTTTTGTTAAGGTAGTACCTATATGTTATCTTACCTTATCTATGTTGGATATATCATTAAAAGACAAGTCGAGCCATGCCAGCTCCAACGGATTTTCCAAAATATGTTCCAGTGTGGAACTTAAATTCTCAAGGTCCGAGATGGCATTATAACAGAATCGTATTGAATTTGCTTTGAACTGTCCTGATCCTTCAGTTCTCTGTAAAGCAGAAATTTCTTACATAAATATAAAAAATGTTTTAAAAGGTTTTACCTAAGAGTAAAGTGTTCCAGTTACATCCATATTAGCCAAAATTTATACTTTGCTTACCTCCACTTTATGGGGACCCGGTCTGGGTTCTTCATCCAGAGCATCTATGGCAAAGGTTTTAGAGATCGACAAAAGTTACCACCAAAAATTGGAAAACGACAAGGAAAGAACATAAGAAACCAATCGAATGGTTTACAAACCTTGTACTCCTGCTAGACACTTGTAAGAAAAATCCAAGGGTGAATACATCTCATTGACAGTGTCGATTGCAGACGAGACTTTTGGTTTGTTTTTGGAGTTCATGGTGCCCTATTTTTCCGAGCCTAAATGTTCCAAATACTGTGTTCTAGGCTCCAACTTCAGAAAGTCCGTGTAGCCATGATATGTCGTGACGTTTTCTACGTTCTGTTGCTATGCGAACGAACTGATTGGAAGACAGGGATGAAAAACGTCTGCGCGTGCGCCATAGAAACGCGGGCTCATACGCACGCTTATTTAAACTGACTAAATGTTGCGGAAAATGGATAGCTGTAATAAAAGTTTAAAAAACATGGAAGCCGTTAAAAAGATAAGGTTTCAATTCTCATTTTTGAACACAGGCGTCCCAAGTTCTCGTCTCGAGCAAAAGCGCAGGATTATTTCTTGAGAGCGTCACGTGTTGTGTGACGCAGTGTTCAGTTACGCGAGCGTTATAAGGAACTAGTAGTAGTAGTATGGAGAATAAAATATGGTCCATTGAAAACACTATATATTCCAAAATGTGAATATTTTACACGTTAGATTAATAAAACTTACTCATTCCTTATGTTTCCGTCGTGTCTTTTGCCAATTTCTCCTGTTTTGGGCTTGCTTTGCCATATGTTTTTCCTGTTATCAGACGAAGTCAAGGCTGCACACTATGATTTCGACCGTTGTCTACTCGGAGGCGGTTTGCGGCCAGAAAATCCATCTATTCGGAAAATTTTTTACCTAAAGCTGATGATCCAAGATCATTGCACCCTGGGAAGTGTCTCAATTCCAAAAATCTCCGCGCAATACGCTGAAAACGATCGTTTTTTTACCATAATTACCACGTTTGTTAATTTCTGCCAGAGCCTTAAACTCACAGACTGGACACGGCCTCGCAAGAGGCTTGGGTCTAAGGTTAATTTTATCTCTACTGAGAGTGGTACACGTTTATACACGTTTATTTAATAACAATAACAATAAATCCTTATTCCCCTGGCTCCGCAGATAGCAGTGCTAATTGAGGCGGGCCAGGATAATCAGAAAAAGAAGAGGAAAATACACACAATTAAAACTACAGATGAATAAATAGATGGTAAATACGAAAACAAATTAAGTCTACGAAACAACTATGTGTTTAATTCAAGTTGACAGCCCATTATGTTGTGAGTGAATACATAAGATAAAATGGATAAGGTAGGATGGGCGAGACAAAGGTGATAGCTACTAAGAGTATTTCCTAACTTTAGGGATTATCGATTCTAAATCTTTGATNGATTTTGCTTTCATCGATAAAAGATTTCAGCCTTTTGAAGACAAGTTTTTCAAAAATTCTGTTAAAACAAGATAATAATGAAATTGGTCTATAGTTTTTGGGATCCGTCTGATCATCAGATTTGAAGATTGGTAGAACTTTTGCCATTTTCAGTTTAGAGGGGAACGTACCAAGTTCAATAGACTTATTGAAGGTATTTGGTAAAACTTCACTTAAGATTTCATTTGCATATTTAAGTATGCTGACAGGGAACGAGTAAAATCCGTATGATTTGTTTTGAGGCATAGAGAACGAGTAAAATCCGTATGATTTGTTTTGAGGCATAGAGAGAATTTCCAATTTAATTTCATTGGGGCTTATTGGCGCAAAGAAAAATGAAGTAATGGGTGACTTGTTTTTGTCAAGGTATTCGGTAAAGTGTTTCTTAAAAGGGGGGAGCTTGCTAGCTAGTCTGGGACCAATGCTTACAAAGTGCTTATTTAAAATGTTGGGAATATGCGATTTTAGGTTAGTAGTAGTGTTGGTAGAAGGTTGCTTTAGGTTATTAATTATCGTGTAGGTTCTCTTTTTGCGGTTTAATAATCCACTAATTCCTTCCCATGTCTTTTTCAAGTTGTTTAAATTGTTATTAAAAAACTGATGGTACTAGAGCTTTTTGCTAATTCCCGTTAAGTTACAGATTTCGTTACGATAGTATTTATATCGAACATGATTGTTGCTTGTGTACAAGTTATTTTTTATTTTAATTGCGGAACGTATCCTTTCAGTTATCCACGGTTTAGATAATTGCTTTATTCTTCTTTTAGATAAAATTTTAAAGGGTGCGCGTTTGTTGAGTATTTTGTTAAATCTATTATAAAAGGATAAAAATGTTCCATCAACATCGACATTGGCTCTCTCGAGGATCTCATTCCAATCAACTTGAGATATATCAGCTGTGAAAGAATCAGGAGAAAATTTTTAAAAATCTCGCACTTTTCTACTTTCAGCTTTTGTTTGAGTAACAATCGAAGTCTAGATACAAAACTGTGAGAAGTGGTCACTTAGATCAGAGATGATGTTACCACTAGCTAGCACCTTTTCTGGAGTATTGACAAATATATTATCTATCAACGTTGCTGATGTACTTCTTACTCGTGTCGGTTTGATAACTGTGGGAATGAGATAACAACTTTGAAGAGACGTTAAGAAACGTACGGTCAATTTATGTACAAAACATGGAAATTTTGTTTATCAAATGTACGGTACGCGTTAGAAAAAATAATATTATTTGTATGGAACTCCGACGTCCAACTTGCGAAAAGCTTGAATACCCAAATGTTTAGCTAAGGTTCACAATGAAAATTTTTCTGTATTAATTCAATGAGTGAATCTAAAAAGCGAATGAATGGTGTATATGACTCAATGGGTTCTCACTCGGAAATCTTGTAAAACAGTATGTTGATAGTTTTTATATTGTATATAGATATCTACTGTTTTAACTGAAGATTTGTTTCAGAGTTAAGCTGTCAATTTCGCTACATCTCTTCGCATTGGCATGTACTAAAATATATTCCCCGCAATAGCACGGAACACCACCGAACACCCGAACACTGAACACCGGAACACCCCCGGAACACCGAATTTGACGGTGTAAGAAATAAAATGTAGATGTAATTTGTTTACCCACGTAACACGAAAGAGCTTAGAAGCCAGAAGCAGGCGCTAAATATAACAGCACGTAACACCACCGAACACCCGAACACCGGAACGCCCCCGGAACACCGAATTTGACGGTGTAAGAAATAAAATGTAAATGTAATTTGTTTACCCACGTAACACGAAAGAGCTTAGAAGCTAGAAGCAGGCGCTAAATATAACAGCACGGAACACCACCGAACACCCGAACACCGGAACGCCCCCGGAACACCGAATTTGACGGTGTAAGAAATAAAATGTAAATGTAATTTGTTTACCCACGTAACACGAAAGAGCTTAGAAGCTAGAAGCAGGCGCTAAATATATAGTTTCTTAATGTTTCTTATCTTATTTCTTTGTGGTATAAATAAATGTTGTTGTTGTTCCGGTGTTCCGGGGTGTTCCGGTGTTCCTGGTTTTAGTACATGCC